ATCTGAACTGCGGAGAAAGATATGAAGACATGATTGATCATTGCAATCAAAACCCAACAGCCTGAAAAAATTCATCTGTGACCAGCTCCCAGTTGGCTTGATATTATAAAAGAATAAAGGAATATCACACCTGAATTAAATAAAACTTTCTGCTCACAGTAGTCACTCTACTGCAATTTGTTCAACAAAATTTTGAATTTTTTTCCTTGATCCGATCCGTGATCCGGTCCGTGATCTGATCCGTGATCCGATCCGTGATCCGATCTGTGATCCGATCTGTGATCCGATCTGTGATCCGATCCGTGATCCGGTCCGTGATCCGATCCATGATCCGGTCCGGTCCGATCCCGGTTTTGTCGACGCCGAGTAAAATATTGTTTTTAACATGAGAAAATAAAATTCATATTTTTAAGGTACTGTGTAATTTTCTTTTTGTTATATGTCATTTTGACTCTTTGTACAAACGTCCGTAAATAAGCAGGAAATGACAAAATCAATGTCTTCACTAGTGAGGTTGTGGAAAATATGCCACCGAGTCCCGGATGTGGTTTTGTATGAATTTTGCGAGTAGTCTATTTTCAGTGAAGCACTATTAGCAAAATTAAAGAAAACTTTAATAATTTTTTGCAACTTAAATCTTCAAAAAATGGGGTTGCCCTTTGATGTCAAATGTCACCATGATTTCAAGGTAGCTTGTTTGCTTTTGCCACCAGTGATCAACCTTCCCATATACAGTGTCAAATTCTCCACCCCAGCAAGAAAGCCACTAATACAAAATTCTTCCTCACATCCCCCACCCCCTCCCCTCCCCCCTGCTCTCCTGTGGGCACATCACAAGTCAAACGTACACAGGGTTTTCCCAGGTTGATGTTGATGTTTCTATTTGATCAATAGGCTTACATTAAGGGCCCATTAACCGATTTATGCATGTGCTCGCACACATTGTTAAGGAGGTGAAATTTCACTTCCGGTTACTTACGTCAGCCTGAGCGCAGAAAATGAAAACAACTCAATAACTTCCAAATTCGCTCACATTTTAGATGTTTTTCTTTGTGTTTCACAAAATGCAAAGTAAAAAAAGTACAAGCAAAGACAAAATAAGATAAAAACAGAAAAACAAGAGCAATAGAAAGAGAAAACCTGTGTGGCTTTGTTTGATCTTACTGAAGTGCGCTGATAGTGTAAATTGTGCATGTGCTGATAGGGTAACTTCCAATATATATCAGGTGCACTTCTGGTTTCTTTAAATGCTAAAGGAAACGTGGTTTTTCATTAAATCCAGCCCTTTTCGATAGATTTCAATTAAAGCCAATGTTGGAAAGATAGCTATGCATTTCTTTTTCAAAGTCTTGCTTTTCAAAAAAAATTACGAATGTTTTAATATTTTGAAATTCACTCAAGATCTGACCTTTTAGAAATGAAACAAAATCTATGCATAGCATAATGAGGATTTAAATTAAAATTTTGAATCAATGAAAAAAATCTCGATAAAGTAATTTGCCTGGGAGCCTTTGCGTTTTTTCAGTATTAGTCACATGACGATGGGTGTGGCCTGATGACATCATCACTAGTGTTACTGATCATGAAAAAGTATGAACACTTGAAATAACTCTTCATTTCAAACTTACTAAAAATGATGAGGTTATATGAGAATAAATTTTCCTTAGCAACGGCTCGAAAAGATCGGTTAATGGGCCCTTAAAATGATATTGTATTCTTTGATTTCAGCTGGACTGGAAACTTAACTAAAATGTTTTCATTTTTTTGTAGAAAATGTTTTGGAACATTCTACTGGTGGAAGAGAGGTGTCTGAAGATAAAGGAAGTGCTGATGAAGGCAAAACTAAAAGTCAGTCAAATGAACAACTGTATGGCACAGTTGCCTCATTTCTGGAACAGTTTAAATCACTTGAATCGTCTCAAGAACAGCTGAGTAGTCTAGAAGGAGATTTGAAATCCAAACAAGAGGATCTGGAGGAAGCCATCAGCAAAGTGAAAGATGCTTGGAAGGTTGACAAGAATGACTTTTAGTGATTGACATGTTGAGCTTGATCTTAGTGGGACCACTACTGGCTTTTTAGCTTGAGTAATGAAACATCTTGTTTCTTACACTAAATTCATCCCTTGTTGAAGAGGAGTCATAGTATCATACTGAGCAGTGTGGTAGATGTTTCTTTGATGGGCTATTACTTTGTTCTGGTTGTTTTCATGCTATAAACAGCCTATCATGTGCACTTCACTGATCTTTGTAGATTAACATCATCAATGTGGAATTTTTTGGGTGAAATCTCAGATCATTCCCTCGTGAGACAAACTAACTGCATGGAGAGAGAAACATAGTTAACTTAGTGAACTAACTAACTTACATGGACTGGAAGAGGTGGCAAATGATCACTTATAAATAGTTGGTCTCTGAAAAGTTTTGATCTCAACGTGAAATCCTTTGTAATCAGCAAGGGTATTTCACATGTGGGACATTGAATACACTGTTTCCTTGTAGTTGGTTTCACCCATGTTTGCTTGTAGCTAGCTTCTACCTATTGGAATTTAGGACAGCATTATATTGCATTTGGCCCTTTTCCAACAAGTAAAAGCTAGCGGCAAGCCGACATGAGTGAAACTAACCACAAGCAAACAGTGCATTCAGCGTTTTGCAAAATACCCCTGCCGCTTTGTAATGAGTTACTTAGTCTAATTTTTGTGGTGTGCCTTTCAGCCTTGCAGTCTAAAATGATTTAAGATGTGGTTTTAGATTTTCAAACAAGGGTCTGTATCTTGATGAGTCTTGGAGTTTAACAATTTTGTCTCTTCAACTTGAGTCTTATGAACAGGGAGAGAGTTTTTATGGTGTAACAAGAGATGAAAATTGTTCTAGAAGTAGTATAACCATATGCTAGGATTGAAACAATAGTTTTTAAAATGAACTTTCCAACTTTTTGTTTTGAAGACTTTCATTCTTTTTACTTAGAATATTGTAGTTGAAAAAGGATATCTCAAAATGCAAATACTAGTCATTGTGCACTGCCTTGTACACAGTTTTACAAAACAGGAATGATTATTTATTTTAAACTATTTAAACCAGCTGTCAAAGTATGGTCATTCTTTGTGATGACAATAAATAATTTATGAAATGATTTGTCTGTAAGGTTTTTTGTGTTTACTTTGAAAACATCCCTGCTTTTAAAACCCTGTGTTCAGGGTCTAATATCTCCATGCAATATCAATTTACTGTCTAGTAAACAGTTGATGGGACAAAAGAAAATTATTACGCGTGTTTATCAAAAATACCACAAAATTACTCACTTTTCACGCTTTATGATTTTTTGCGTGATTTTAGGGGCCCCGTGCGTCACTCCAAAAATTTAGGTCACGCGATCACCAAAGGGAATGGAACGTGGAGACCGGCCGGCTTTTGTTCGCATATCGGCAACAAGTATAGGATCTGCATATTATTGACAAAAGCTTCGTGATTGATGCGTGCAGGTTTCCACGAAGACCTGCAGACGTAATCTCTGGAAAACAACCGGCAGTCTGCTTATTTCGTTGCGATAACCAATCACTTAGCTGATATTGATAAAATCACATGGGGAAGGCGCGTGTTTCACGTGCGTTGATAAGTCCGTATATTATAAATGTT